CGCTGTGTTGAATATCCGGCATGTAATGCTTTTTAGCGAAGAGCCTAAATGTATGTTGTCTCTTTTTCATTTAGCAAGGTAAATTAAGCCAATTTGAACGTAATATAACGCCAATTGTTGTATTAAAAGAAAAAAAGGCTTTTATTATTTTTGGTAATCTTTTTACAATTTTTTGGTATAATTTTTTTAAAGTGGCAACTGTGTTCCCAAGGAAACCACATTTTGAGTACCAATAAAAAATTCACGAAATAAATGTTAACTTACTCATTGCATTCTCTGTAATCGAAAACTCCATTTGGAAATTAGCCCATTAATGCGTTAATTACCCCTTGCATTCCCTGTAATGGAGTCTCTAAGTCGTTTTTCGGAAGTCTAGCATTTATGGAATGTATTATAGAACTACATACCGACGTAAGGGCTTACCGAAACTTGAAAAATTTTTGCTGGGTAACATAATCGTGCAAGCCACTGGTGCACACACCGGCATATACATATGTATGCACATATATACGAGCACCAATTAATTTCATTTAAAGAAATTGCGTGTCGTCCATTTCTGCTGTAGCGTATGTGGTGCATATATTTAGGCGCAATATATAACTACTTGCGGCAAGGCGTCATCTACCTCTAGAGTCTTGACGAGGTTAATGTCTATACTTTTTTATGGGATCTTTGCACAGCAAAGGATTTATAGCTACAAATGGTGTCTGGACACACCACATTGCAAGTTAATAAAAGCGTTGTAAAATATATATAAAAAGGTGGAAATCTTCGTTCAAATATTTCTGTTTGCAAGCTATTTCAGTCCTCATTCATTTGGTGCCAAATTTTTTTGATTTGGATAAGGGGTTTGTTTATTATTACGAAAGGACTTTTATTTCGGACTTAAAAAATATTTGGCCAAGTTTAACTTTTATTGCTGGACTTAAAAAAATAAAATTCCGGGTTGACTGGTTATTTTATTTCAAATAAAATAAAAGTCCAAAGATAACTTTTTTTTAAGGACAAGTTATAAACGCCCGGTCCCTGATTTGAACACTTAAAGAAAATCCTTCTATACCTAAAAGTGACATTCTGGAAATATTTCACATATTTTGGTTATTTTTCTAAGAGTCTTTTTTCTTCAAAATATAAAACCAACGAAATAATTGAAACTCCTGAAGCAATAAACAGTCATTGGAAATTATCTTATTTTTAGTGTTTTTTTGCATAAAAAAGTGGGTGACATTCGGGAAATATTTAGCCGTACTTCCTATGGTGCAATGATAAATTCACTTAAAAGCGCAAAATAATCGCTTTTATTAAGTTTATTATTTGTAATGCCAATCGATCAATAACTTATTGCGCTTCTTAACTGCAGTGCACTTAGGCAGACAAAAAACTAAGGTTAATATCACGACAAAATTAAAAAAGTGACATTCTGGAAAATTCAGGGACAGTATTATAAAAAAGTATAAAAAAGTACCAAAAGCAAAACCAACTTTTATTTTTTAAACTTTTATTTGAAAAACAAATAATAATTTAAATTCTATAATTAAATCCATAGTTTAAAAAAAAATTCAATATTACTTGCTTTAAGAAAAACAGAGAATCCTTATGCTCATTTGCATAACGATAAACAAATTTATAGGGCCCCTAAACCACACAAAATCATTGCGCAACCCGAGGCTCGTACAAGTAAATATTGTGAAAATTACTGCACAATAAAATTGCCCAAACATTATTTTGGAGAAACGTTGCTCATAAAACGCAAAAAAGGGAATATTTAAATTTTTTTTTCTACGCTCTTATTCATAATTTACAGCACGATCTGGTCACCAAAATGTCAAAACTAGACGGAAAATTGCGCAGTTGTCGCCATACGAAACACAAGTTATTGCGCAAGAACAAAACCATGAGCAAAATATCAAAATGATTTTGATTTTAGCGCAATAACTGCAATTTAGTACCAACAACCCCACACACCACACAAACGATCGATGCAATGTTTTTGTGTGGTTTAGTGGCCGTATAACAGCAGCGTGTGCAAAGAAATTCCGGGTTGCATTTCCCTTATAAGACTTACCAAATCAAACTTATAAATACATATAAAATTGTAAGCCAAGAATAAAAGTATTTGCCTTTAAACTAAAATTCAAAAATACATTTCTGTAGTCAAAAGTATCAAAATGAGGCATTTGTGAACAAAAAAGTATTAAATCACAAAATTTAGAAAAAAAGTTTCAAAAACTACACAATTGTATCAAAACGGCAACGCTGCACAATAACCAATGTGACAAAATTTTGGAGAAAACTTAAAAAATTAGTCACTTTCGATAGAGAACAGCCCAAATAACATTTCCCAGCCCCCTTCACTTTTCTAACTAGCACAGCGAACGCTCACCGTTGACCGGAAACAGAATATTCTAACGCTGCTTATAAATAAATTGTCACTCTCTAGAAAGATCGTGACGGTTTTAAGTTAGTATTTTGATTTCTGTGTTGAATTCTTAAAAAGTAGTGACGGATCCGCATACACATGGTAATAATGCATTTAAGGGTAATTTGTTGTTAATAATTTTATTAAGCAAAAGTGCAATTGAAATGTAACGAAAATAGCGGTTTTCAACAAGTATTTTTTTGTTAATTTTTGTGAATATTAAGGAAGTTGTTGTATCCCCGGGAGAGATCGCGGTATTATTCTTTGTTCAATTGAAAGCTTAGAAAATTGGCTAATATAGTGTGAAAAGACTGCCCGCAGAAAATGGCAGATAAGTGGTATTTCTTAACTTAGAAAATGT